ACTTTTAAGTACTAACAATAAAAGTCTTAGTTTCCTTGTGGTGATCATATGGTTTTCTGACTGGGGTGTATTATTAAAGGACTATACTTACACAGTTTCAGGAAATGGAAGCTGGAAATGAAAATACCAAGCATGGTCAGCTGTGTGCATGTGTATGCCTCCAAGTTGCCTTTTGACTTATGACGATCTCATAGGGTTTTCTTAGGCAAGGAATATTTAGAGGTGGTTTTGCAAGTTCCTTCCTCTGAAATACAGCTTACAGCACTTGGTATTTGTTGGCAGCCTCCCATCCAAGTACAAAGCAGAGCTGACTCTACTTAGCTTCTAAGATCATATGTGATTTGGTCCTTTTAAGCTTTTTAGCCCACTTAGGGGGGTTGCAGACTGCCAGAAATAGTGCAGATTGAGTCCACTTTAAGGGTTAGGGTTAGGGAATCATGGGAACTGTATTTTATTGTGGCACCAGAGCTCTCTGACAGAGAAGGCTCAATGTCTCAGAAAAACAACAACAATTCCCATGATTCCCTAGCACTAACCCTAACCCTAAAAGTGGACTCAGTTTGCACTATTTCTGGCAGTCTGCAGCCCTCCTTAGTCAGCTATTTGTTGTTGTGTGCCTTCAAGTCATTTCTGACTTATGACAATCCTAAGGTGAACCTATCACAGATTTTGTTTGGCAAAATTTGTCTTTGAGGCTGAGAGAGAGTGACTTGCCTGTAGTCAGTTACCGTTCAGAATAAATTAAATGATACTGAATATTTCTGTTGGGGACTGCTGGCTCTCCTGGTATTTTGTATGCTCGTCTCATTTGTTGCAGACAGAAACCCCATCAGGAGTTAAACTTTGCTTGGCTAAGGAACAGGTCCTGTTTAGACAGAAAACTTTGCTCCATGGAACACAATAACTCTATGTGAAATTCATTTAGGACTGTAGAGGTCTTAAATGACTGTTCATGTGATTCTTCTGTAATGAAGGGGTGGAAATAGGGCAGCTCTCTAGATGTTTTGTAGTGTAACTCCCATCAACTTAATCCAGCATACTCATTGGTGAGGGATAATGGGAGTTTCAGTCCAACAACATTTGGATCTCTGCATGGTCCTCTCCCCAAAAAAGACTGAAGACATCTTGGGAAGCAGTTTGTGGCAGCAACACATCAAAAGAATGCAGACTGCGTACTTTGAATCTTTCCAGTTCATAAGGAACTTGGACTAAAAGTTCCAGACTGTCCTGAACTTGTTTCCATATAAGCTGTAGAAGTGATCTCTCAATTTTCTTTATATAGTATTTCTGAAGTAATTGATTCTGGCTTCAGTTTCTTTATGTTAGCCTGGAATAAGCTTCAGCTCTAGTTGCTTATGAAGCCAAAGTTTTGTTGCTAGGCTGTGAAAAGAAGCAACACCAGTTAGTGTCTGGATTTATGTGTTTGCCCATGGAAGAATGTCCTGAGCTACAAAATCTAGTCCAGAGCTCTGAAATATTATCTTCGAGATTTTGTTGTTGTTAACTCTGGTCAAGTTGACTTCAACTTATGGGAACCCTATGAATGAGAGACTTCCTTGTTACCCTGTCACCAACATACCTGCTCAGGTCTTGTTGACCCAGGACTGTGGCCTCCTTGATTGAGTCTGTCCATATGAAATGCAGTCTTCCTCTTTTCCTACTGACTTCTTCCTTTCCAGGCATTATTGTCTTTTCTAGTGAGTCATGACTTCTCATGATATGGTCAAAGTACGACAGTCTCGGTTTAGTCATTGTGGCTTCTAGGGAGAGTTCAGGCTTGACTTGCTCTAGGACCCGTTTATTTGTCTTTTTAGCAGTCTACAAATAATCATCCAACTTGTAAGGCTAGTGGACCTGTGTTCTAAATTTGTTGTTGTGTGCCTTGAAGTCGTTTCCAGCTTATGGTGACCCTAAGACAAATTTATCATGGGGCTTTCTTGGCAAAGATACAAAAAGGGCTTGAAATGAATTGCCCATGCGGTTAAGAGACCTTCACTGACACTTCAGAAACATTTCCTTCCTCTGCTTTTCTGCCTGTCTCCTTATCCTGGCTCTTTAGTGTTGTAATCTCATAAGGGGACTTCAAAAAAGGGAGACTCTTAGTATGCTTTTGCTCTTGGGAAGCTCTGCTAACAGATGCAACTCAAGTCTGACCTGAAAGCTTCCGCCGTCACTCCAGTGCCCTCCCTGTATTCGCTCCTCATGAAGCTGCGAACCACCCAAGTCCTCCTTTTTTGCCTCTTTGACTAACATTGCTAACACTGTGCATGCTAGTATTGTTGTAGTGGCATAAAAAAAATCCTAAAGGACTGGCCATTGAGGACTTTGGTTAGAGTCCTAACCATCTTTGTAAGAGAGGAAACTGAGAATGCTAGCTAGCTTTTTTTTCTGGAGTGTGAGAGTGAGAATGAGGAAGGGGTGAGATACTTTACAACTCTATTTTTGTTGGGAATCTTCCAAAATTGGCATATAGAAACTGTTTTAGAAAGAGAGCATTTGTGTTCTCTGCCCAGTTTCTGCACCTCGCCATTGATAAAAGAATGAGTGATGTGATGACACCTTGCCAGTCCTAGGGTGTCACAAAAGGCATTTGTGTAACAGACAGGTATTCAGAGGAGGTGAGGTGCTGTGAAGTGAAAATAGCTGTGCTTTATTTGAATGGCTGTGAATCAGATGACCTTGTTTCATGTAAGGAACTATGGCTAAAACTATGCCATATCTTTACATCTAGATATATGAGAACACAGTAGGCTATTTATGCTCTATTTAATTAAAACAGACAAAATCTCTTAAAGCCTTTCTGGAAATGTCTAAGAATTGAAGTAACAATAATTGTAAAGCATCTTGTTAAGTACAAAAACATCAGATTTGATAACATATCTAACTTGACAGATCATACCTTAAAAGCCATTGTTCCATCCACCATTAGAGGCAGGTGCACCGTAGAAAGTCAGAATTCTGAGCAGGTGGGTAGCTCTGAACCAAAGTGAACAACTGCAGCAGATCTGGGACCAACTTTCTGGTTCTGGGGCTCTCCAAGGGCTACACAGACTACCAAAAAGCCATCTCATCTGAAAACCGAATGCCCATTTATTTTATTTTTATTTTAGTATTACAGTGCTGTGAGAACCATAGTCTTTTTAAAAGGTGAATTGCCATCTTCCATGAAAACTCCTTTACTCAAGTCACTTAGCAATCGTGTGTCTCAAAGCAAAACAAGAAACAAGTAAAACATTCAGATAAACCGAAATTGAAGCACCAGCGCTGTAGTTTTAGACCAGTGTCAAAATATGCGGACTTGGAGTCCATGGTCTTGATCTTTCATGGACGGCAAACGGGGAGGAACAAAATGGTGCACACAGGCACATGCCACTATTGAAATCTTCCAGAAGGGACCCAAGGTGGCTCACAGATAAAAAAAACCCACCCTATATGTTGGCTTTTCTGCCACCATATAGCCAAAGCCTTTTAGATGTAATCTGTGAAGAACAAAATAAATCCACATATGCATATAATAAATGGAATATAACAGCCTTTTTATAATTAACAACTATAATCTTTTAGTAGTTTTAAATTTCAAATTCTGTGTATACTTGTAAAATGAGAGATGACACTGGGTTGGCATTTGTTTTTATTAAACAAGTAGCTGCACTCATTGTGCCAGTTTTCATATGCTTATCAGTGCATTTTTATTTTCTCTTTCTCACTCACTAACACACCCAATTACTATTAACTAAATTCAATTTTGTTTTTCTTCACATATTCAGTCAGCATCAAAACGCACCTGGAGAGCAAATCCTTTTTCTGTTGGATTTTTTTTTTTAGCCAAGGTTATAGCAAGGAAAGATGAACCTGAAATAATAGGCATTCACCTTGATAACACAATGATTACAATCTCTGCCATGTAAGCATCTGTTAGACAGATGACACCTAACTCATTTAAAAGTAATGACCTGTAGGGTGAGAGTTACAGAAGTAGTTAACTACAGCATACAGTTTCCTAAAGGTGATAGTTGAAGGGTTCCAAGTTGTACTGTACTTGGTTTAGTACAGTACAACTTGTACAGTTGTGTAATTATGCAGAGATTTGCTCTTCTAAAAGCCTCCTCCTATTTGTACTTGGCATTTTCCCCAAAGTTTGGATTCAGGGCAGCTTATAATTTAAACCAAGTACAGTACAAATAAAATTAAGTGATGGTTTTCTGTCTTATACACATTGGGGCACTTTTGACATCAGTTTTAAAATAATATTCAGGACTTCCACTGGTTTGTACCACTTTTATTAATACCTAATTGGATTTTGTGATAAGTAAACTAAAATGGCTTCCTCTGTGCTCTGAAATAAGGATGCTTTTCTCTTCAAAGCAAAGGTGTATCACCACCTTTGCATAGTGCTGTGCAAAAAGTGACCCCTCTAATCAATTTTAAAAGTCAAAAAAATCGAGGCTGCCATAGCTTTTCTTATGGATCTTGACATTTGAACCAGTTAGATGAATTAGGATAGATGCCTAGAGATCACGGTAAGCAGGGATAGGAATCATGCAGCCCATCTGATGTTGTTGGACAGCAAATGCTAGCAACCCTAGCCAGAATTAGCATTGGTGGGGAATGCAAGGAAGTTGTAGTCCAATAGCATCTGTAAGACTGAATGATTTCCAGCCCTTCCATATAATCCCATTAGAATGGACGGTATTTTCTGCTGGTCCAAGATAGGCTAGGAACAAACCAGAGGAATTGCAGAGGAGCAGCTAACATCATTGTGTTATGACAAAGCTACCTTTTGTGTAACAGTGTGGTTCCTTGTCTGCTTTTTCAATGGTTTAAATCAGTTCATGGGTGGTTGTTCTTGTATCCTTTCAAGTCATTTCTGGTTTAGGATGACCCTAAGGCAATCCTGTCATGGGGTTTTCTTGGCAGAATTTGTTCAGAGTGGGTTCGCCTTTGCCTTTCTCTGATGCTGAGAGAAAGTGACTTGCCTGAGGTCACCCTGTGGGTTTCCATGGCAGAGCAGGGATTCGAACCCTGGTCTCCTGAGTCATAGTCCAACATTCAAACTACTACACCATATTGGCCACCTGGTAATATATAAATGTATATAAATGTTTGTGTGTGTGCCCGTGTGTACATGTATGTCATGTGCTTTCAAGTTGTTTCACACACACACACACAAACACATACACGGGGGGGGGCTGTCAGTATTTAAGAGGAAACAGTTATCTGTAATACGAACACCTTCTTGATTCTTTGTATTTCTGGGCAGAGCTGCTTCTGAATATGTTCACATTAATGTAGCCTTAGCCCTTTGCATTTTCTAATCTCGTGTACCATAATGTACTTACTAGGCCTTCATTTGATTTGAATGAATGTTTGATTAGAAAAAGTATAAATTAATGGAAAAGCAGCAAGGTTTACAGTAGGGTAATGAAAGTCTTTGGGTTTCCTATATTGTCTCTTCCCCAGTGGTGGTAGGGGATGCTGTGCACATTTCTGCATTTTGTATCCAAAAATATATTGGTCCCCTTGTTAAATTTCCTTAGTTTACCAGTGTGTGAGCATGCCTTGAAGGACAAGAAGGGCAGTAAGGTTTTTAAAAAGCCAGCAGCTGGCTTAAATAATGTTGGTAAAAGTTTCAGATAACCTTGAGCCCCATTGATAACAAATGGGGAATGGATATGGGGAATGTTTGAGCTACCATCAGCATCCTCTAAGTGTAGTTCTACTTCTGTAATAGATTGTTCTGCCTTCTCCTTCGCACTGATTTACCCCAAATCCATTCTGTTGAGAGTACTCAGGGTGTGTATGTGTGTGTGAGTGTGAGAGAGAAAGAGACCGAGAGCGAGAGAGAGCCATTCAGTATGTCATTCAGTAAAAAAGAGGGAAACATCTGGATTTCAGCTTTGGACCCCATTTAGTAGTAGTAGTAGTAGTAATAATAATAATAATAATAATAATAATTTATTTATAGCCCGCCCCTCCGCGCAACAATTGGGGCGGGTTACAGCATTTAAAACAATCAGGATTAAAACATTCCCTCATCCCACAACCCAACCCTCCCATCCCCTTAAAACAGAATTAAACCAAGAAAAAGTTAAAAACAACAATACAATAAAACAATACAACAAGGAGTCAGCAATAATAAAAACAAGAGAAAAACTCATCTCCCATCTAGCAGCAGTTATTCTGGGAAGGTAATAGATTTTTGTGGATCTTTCTTAGTCCTCTTGAAACATGGAATTGAACTCGGCTTAAACTTGCTCTCTTCTAGTCCAAAACTGAGTGTAAGTGGTTAAGGCAGACTCCCAAACCAATGTGAATTAAACATAAGTGTATCCATCTAAGGTGGTTCTTGTTGAGGCAGAATGAGGACTGTTAGTACAGATGTAGGTGTACTGTTGTTGCTTTTCTTACTAAACCAGTATGTGGAGATTTATCTGTTCATTCCACATCCTTGATACTGGATACTTCTCAAATTTCATGCTCTTAAATTCTGACTTGCTGAGCTGATCAGCATTGTGTTATGCAGCAGTGGGAATGAGGCTGCCCAATGATTGCTGTCTTCCATCTCCCAGATTAATGTTAATCTACAGGTTTTGGATAAACATTCAGCAAATACTATGGGAGCAGCTAAGCTGAACAGGCATTCAGTAATTCTGTGTAGCTGGAGTCTTAGCTCTTTAATTTGTTTGGGAGGAAAATAATGCTTTGTCCACGTGGCTTCCCTGTGTTCAGGTTGCTTCTAGTGTGGGGGCCCATTTATTTTTGAATGGGGTTTACTGAACAGCAATAAGGCAATAAAGTGTTTCATATCTTGTGTTGTTTGCAACTGAGATTTCCCGTTTCATTCTGGCACTGAACCTGATACAACCCACTGTATGGATGCAGCAGCTATTGGGGGACATGAGAGGCCTTGCCATGCCTCTGGGTGAAAGGAAGCGTCACTGCCAAAAGAGACAATACCAAACAGCACTGGTATTGTCCAGCAGTACAGAGGTTGAGATAGTGAACAGGGTGAATGGGATAGAGGTGGATCCCTTCATGAGGATGAGTTGTTGCTGTTGTGTGCCTTCAAGCTGTTTCTGACTTATGGCGATCCTATCATGGGGTTTTCTTGGCAGGATTTGTTCAGAGGGGGTTTGCTTTTGCCTTCCTCTGAGGCTGAGAGAGTGTGACTTGCCCAAGGTCACCCACTAAGTTTCCATGTTTGAACCTGGATTTGAATCCTGGTCTGCAGCGTTGTAGTCCAGCATTGAAACCACTACACCATACACTCTCATGAGGGTGTGTGTCTGTGTATGCATATAATTTAATTTATGAATTTGTTATAGCAATAGATTTGTGACCTTTTGGGTGGTTTCTGTCTTGCAGGAGAAGCCAAATTTTGTACTGTAAAGGCTTTTTAGGTTGTTAGGTAAGTCAAAAGGTAACATTCTCCCTTTTGGAAAATGCCATTTTTCAGGAGTAAAAAAACATCAAATTTTAAAAAATATATTTATTATATTATGTTACCCTGTGATCGTGTTTTCAGTGTATTTTATAGCAAAAAGCAGAGGCAAATTAAAATATGTTTTAAATCAATAAAACATAAAAACTGTAACCCAGATAAGACAAGTTTACTAGAACAGATGATAAGGCTTGGAGAAGTTATATGGCTTATTTGTTTAAAATATTTATTTAAAAGTATAAAAGCACTGAATGAATGCTTTGTAAAAAAAATGTTTTAGTGCCATGCAGTGACACACATTCCTCACCCTTGAATGTGGATCTGGAGAACCCTTTTTTAAAAAATTTAGCTGTATTTTACTTAGGAAGGTGCTTTATCTTAGGTCAGACCATTGGTCCACTCGCTCAGTGTTTGTGACTTCTGGGACCTTGAGAATGTCACTTTCCAGCAAAGCGCTCCCAACTCTTCTCTCATGAAGAATATAGCACTTAGTGTATTGTAAAACTATTTCATATTTAATTATCGGTACTCATCAGAAATGGATGGGCCTATGACACCCCTCTTGAATATTTGATTTTTCTCAATTGGTATCCTGTGGTACAGTTTCTTTTCTTTTTTTTAAACATTTATTTTTAAAGAAAATTATAAGTAACCAACTATATACAAAACATATCACAACAATAAAGCAAAATAAAACAATTCATCTCACAACTTTGAATTGTGTTATGGGTCTCCTTCTTGGATTCTGTTCAATGTAAGTGGTCAATTTAAAGTCCAGTGCTGTCTTTATGTAAATCTGATCCAGAGTGTCCAACCAAAGGTTCAGACGAGATGGAGGTTGTCTTCTCTTGTTTCTGTCTTTGTTTATAAAATCAATGACTGGGAACCATTTGTCTATAAAAGGTCCTGGTTTTGGTCATCCTGTGTAACTTGCCATTCTGTCTAACAGCTTTTCAAGTAACCATAGGTCCCATACCTTTCCCCGCCACTTATCTAGAGATACCTCCCCTGTTTTCCAGCATCTGGCAATTTC